CTCATGCTTCAAAGTCCGAATAGAAGGTGATGAAGATGACAAAGGCTAGAAATGAAGAACAACGAATGTAGATGTAAATAAAACAAAATTGAAAAAACTAAGGAAACGCAATAAATTAAAATCGCGTGTGCATTTCTGCGATCCGGCTCGAATCCGGCTCTAAAGCTATAGAAATACTTCAACGAGTGGGACGCTTAGGCCGTTTTTATTGTCATGTTCTGTGGGAATGCGCGGCCTCTGAGGGATATTGCAGAACCGAATTTGGCACAACGAAGTCTGGAAGACGTAGAATTGACAAGCAAGCATTAATGTGGACTGACGACGTAAGACTCAAGGTTCGCGAGAAAAAAAGGCGGTATCACTCGTTTCTCGGAGACACATCCGCTGACAACTGGCCTGGCAAATATGGGAATTTGTGAGCCCCCACAACAAATATAGCCGAGTCTCTCAACTGGTTTGGGACAAGCCACCACTCTTTCCCATGTAATGTTCTAATTACGTCATCTCTTCATTCACTCATCTCATTTCGTTTCAGGCTATTAGGTACTCTCCTGGGATATGTGAAATACCCAGGCACGAGTGACCTTTTTGTCGAACTTCATGGTTTATACGAGGGTTGCCTTTTATATTTCGGGATTGGGCAACCCTAGTGTTGCAATCTGGCAACTGACAGCTCTATCGTAAAGTTTGACATTTTTGAGGTTATACGTACTCAGAACGTTTTGACATATGAGCGCTATTTGTGTTGTTTACACTAACTTAAACGATTTAGGTCGGCCAAAAAATGGAATTAAATCGTGAACATTTTCGTGCGATTATTTTTTACTTTTACAACTTAATTCAATTTTTGGCGATGAAGCTCCATCAAGGACCAGTGTTTATCGATGGTATGGTGAATTCAACCGAGGTCGTAGTTCACTCCAAGACGAATTTCGTGGAGGTCGTCCAAAATCAGTTGTTGTTCCGGAAACCATTGATGCTGTGCGCAAACTAATATTGCAAGATCGTCATGTGACCTATCGTGAGATTGAGACAACCTTAGGCATTAGTGGGACCAGCATATATTCAATATTGCATGAACATTTGACTGTCAAAAAAATTTGTTCGCGTTGGATCCCAACCGCCGAAGACGGATCACTCTTCACCACGACAATGCGAGCTCTCACACATCGGCTCAAACAACTGCATTTTTGAGCACTCAAAACATCGATTTGATGAGTCATCCGCCATATAGTCCTGACTTGGCACCGAATGACTTCTTTTTATTCCCGTACGTAAAAAATAAAATGAGAGGTCAACGTTTTTCGACACCTGAAGAAGCGGTTGATGCGTTCAGAATGCATGTTTTGGAGATACCTCAATCAGAGTGGCAAAAGTGCTTCGACAATTGGTTCAAACGCATGCAAAAGTGTATAGATCTTAATGGGGAATATTTTGAAAAACAATAAAGCGATTTTCAATGATTAATATTTTTTTTGTTCTCTAATCCCGAAATATAAAAGGCAACCTACTTAGAAACAAAAGAGCTCTCCTCAGTGCTGAAGCGGCAGTTTCGACCGCCGTACAGTAAACTGCTGTAACACCTTCACGAAAAAGATATTCTCCGGAAAACTCGCGTTTCCAGAGAATTTTGAAGCACATTTGCGCCGTAATAGTTGTGATCGCAGTGCCACTATTACGGCATACTGGGTACGTATAGACAGATTTGTCACAGATAAGGTTTATTAGAAGATTAGTCCGACTATCCGCCTTATTTATACATATCAAAGCTGTGGCATTGCCAACGCTAATCTTTCAAGATGTTTGCGAACATTTGCGAGCCTTGAGAAGGGAATGAGTCGCTAAATCACATAGGAGGCGCAGTGGGACAGACTAAGTCATGCTCCTTCAGGTAATGTAGCGCTGAGGAAAATAACATGATCAAACAGTATCTTTCTGGTTCAATAGCAACATTCCAGCAAGCTCGTTCTATCCACCTGCTCCGCCGCAGAAGAAGAACCACACCCAAGAAACGTGTAGCCGCCAAGTTGGATTTAATATAGAATTCCGCATTGAACTCAGCCTTGCATATCGCTTTTTTTCATAAAAAAGGTTTTACGGGTGAATTTTGGATATCTCGGAACAGTATTGGTGTAACATAATGGTGCCGTAACTCATTTTACCTTCAAGTACGAATACTTGGGTATTGATTATCTCTGTTAGGGAAATTTGCTTGGAACCCGTTGGTTGTAACAAGCTTTCTTTCACTAGTATACGCTTAAAGTTGACAGGGAATCTTATAATATGCATTTACTTGTTTTCTTACTTTATTTTTTTGTATTTCTTCTTACTGCTCTGCATGTTTTTTCGACCTGAACCCGCTTATATGGACAGATGGTAAGATGTTCTCGAGCTGGATTTGATAGTAAGCATACTCTACGGCAAAACTGATACAAAGGTATTTGACTGCATCATCAATAAAGGTCTTTGTCTTTCGGGTATTGTAAAACATGTGGCAATGTTGTTGTTGAATTTCTTAACAGACTCATCCATCAGAAATGAGTAGTTGCTCAATTACTCATTGACTGCTTTGTTTATAGGTCTAGTGAGCACTTCATTCGATTTTTTTTATTGGAGTACCTTGAAGTGACGGTCTGATGTGAACATAAATGATTAGTACAAGATTGACATAAATCGGAAGCACTGCCGCATTTCCAACGTACTTCTAGATCTTATGACCATTGTGGTGATCGTCGAACTAGAGCGGTTAACTATGGGAACCCTCCGGACATCAAAGAAACACAACTACGAATAGTAAAGACAGCTCCCGCGATAAAAGTATCATGAATAGTTGCGTTTCTATTATGAAACATCAGCTGGTAAGTAATTCACCAACGAAGAAAACAAAGAGTCCTCAAGAACACCATAAACAAAATTGCTCCCTGACAGTCACACCGCGCTGCGGTCTCTATGCAACCCCTGGCACACAAATCCCTTTATCACATCTCCTAGTAGTGGATATCATTCAATGCAAAGAAAAGAATACGAAAAACAACAAAAACACGGTAGAAAAACTCTCGAAAAGGAAAAGAAACTTTAAAAACACGGCGTCCGAATTTAGGGTTATGGTAGCGTGCATCCTTTAGTGTTGTCCAGTGCGTCTAGCTGCACTACGAAAATGGTCGCTAGCGAATTTTTGGCGTTTTACCTTGCAAAATGGGTCGAGCTGGCTGTATATGCTCCTCATGAATGAAATTTTGAAAAAAGAGAGCAGAATCATTCATGGGCACGGGCGCGGATACCAAAAATGACATGCAATTCCGATTAATGCCCGCCGCCCCAACAAAGGACAACTGGGCTGCCCTCCGTTAGAGGAGACAAATAGCAAGTGGGCGGTCCAACTGGGCGGGCGGTAGAATCGAGACTTTCAGCGGCTGTAGCTCGCTCCTCGCTCGCTTTGGAGTCGCGACAGTGGGACAGTCTCTAGATTGGGAGCTGCACTACAAGGAAGGACGACCATGTACAACTCGAGCGCGGGGGCTGTCTTTAACCTCGTTAATGGACTGACTTCATGATACGCCCGTGCATACGCCCGTGCTCGCTATGCTACGTTTATGCCGCGCATTCCCACAAAACATCAAAATAAAAACGGCCCAAAGCGTCCCACTCGTTAGTTTGAAGTATTTCTATAGCATTAGAGCCGGATTCGAGCCGGATCGCAGAAATGCACACGCGATTTTAATTTATTGCGTTTCCTTAGTTTTTTCAATTTTGTTTTTATTTACGATCCACATTGCGTTGCTTACTTCATTTTAGCTTTTGTTCATCTTCATCACTTTTTTTCTATTCGGACGTTGTAGTATGAGCAGTACCTCAAATGCTATTCAGTTGCGTTTTGCTTGTATTATCATGTTTTATTGTCATGTTCTGGGGAATGCGCGGCCTGTGAGGGATATTGCAGAAGCAGACAGTTGCTCTTGAGTTCTAGCCCTCGTCATCATCTTCGTTCTTATTTTGCAGCACCTAAAATGTTATTCCGCATAAAAATTGCGTTGTACTTGTATTCCAAAGCGCAATTACAGGACTTGGCAAAAAGCCAAGAGAGCTGCACGCAACCGCGCCGCGCGGACGGTGTTAGTAAAAACGTGAGTTTGCAAAAACGGGCGGACCCCGTACACAGGAAATTTACGACTTTCCCACGGCTCCCGTTACTCTGACCTACCCCCCCCACGGGGCAGTTTTGGGCGGGGGGACCACGACACATCGACAGCTGGGGGGAGGGGCTGATAGTCTCATACACCCTCAATGGGTTTGAGGCGTACCATGTGTCGTTAATTACATCATAATGAGTGAATTTACTGCTGATTTTTTTAGCAAATTTTATAGAACCAAGAACTACAATGTAAAAAACCTGAATCCTATCAATCAAAGGTGAAAAGCATGCCAAAATGAATCAAAATGAAACACACAAATAAAGCTTACATGGTAGTGTGAATTAAAATGAAACACATAAATTAGGCTTAGATGGTAGTGTTAGTAACAAATCTAGACATTTTTCGACAATATTCTTCCGCTTCGATTTGAGATGCGCCATTTCGAAGCATACATCGAATCTGAAGGTAGCAATCAAGGATCAGCTTTCTAATTCCGTAATATATGATGAAATAAGGGAAATATAGTTACTTCCTCATTTCCTCCGCTATTTTTTCCCTCCTATCTTCATCTTTTGAGCAGGACCCTGGCATCTTCTGGTTTCTGTAAAGACAAATTCAGATAGAAAAGTGCAGTAGGAATCCTTTTAACCCCCACCTCCTCGAGGCGCTTGAGAGCTGCACGCGCTTCGTAGTTAAGTTTGCAAAATGCATCAATCAGCACGCTCAAGGGTGGGTGGTCCCCATGAATGAGGAGCCTTAGTCTCCTGAAAATTTTTTGGTATTGAGTGTGCTTCATGCTTTCGTTACCTGCAACTGTTACCTGTAGAAAGCTTCCGGCAAATTCGTCGTTCGCAGCTCTCTGAGCTTCTATTTACACCACATTCCCTTGAATGGGCCCTCCGTCCAGGTCGTATGAAAGTAGTTGAGGAATTCCTTGCACTTTCGGTAGGCTCCCTGCCCGCTTGGAACGGGGGGACTTCGTAAGGCACGCATTAGCGGAAGGAAGTGTGGAGAAATACCACACTTATAATATTGAAGTGACATTCCAGAAACTAGTAGTCGATCTTTGATTACCTTCCACTGTCTTCCACCATTCCACGACTCTTTCGCCTTTCTGTCCTCGTACGAATCACTTCAGAGTGAGGGCCTCCCTTTTGCGGTTCCATGCGAGATGGAACGCGCACTCTTCTACAGCTGCATTAGAGAATGTCTTTCGTGCTGCTCTAATTGCAGCCTTTTCAGAGTCTAGCACCACCCTTTGTAGAATATCACCGACTAGGTTTTTCTTCAGCTCTTCGAAAATCTTCAGGTATATCGTCTCGGTTTTTTTGCGGTGATGCAGTAGAACAGCGGGATCTCAACGTCATGACTGCATACACCGTGCACGCAGTACAGCTGCGACTGATAACCGAGGGACTTGGGCTGAGCCGAGTGCATTCCATCGGCCACTATACAGTGTAGACCGTTCTCGCAAGCCTTCTGTAAAGGCGAAAAAAGATCGCTGAACTGGAGTTATTCAAAGGGTTCTTGCATAAGCGTGAATTGTTACCTGGATGGGGCCGTAGAATAATAGATGTGAAATTCAGGCTCGTGGTGCTGAAGATATAAAGAGCATCTCGAAGAGTGCGATATTCTTCTGGCACAGCTTTCATACTTACCGACCTGTTTGTCCACTTAGCCACGCTCCTGAACTTTAGATGAGCATTGGAGGTTGCGATGAGGAAATTTTTTGGTCTTGACCTCGCTATTATCTCGTCTCCTTGCTTGATATCCCGATCTTTGTATTGCGGCACGAATGTTGTCCTCCATGTCTTCTGAGAACACTGTGGCTGAGAAAAGGAAAGGGAAGGTTATGTGGGATCTTTGAAACCGTTTCAGCATTGAGCGCTGCTGCAACCATGTCAAGGTTGATCTGAACTGGTCTCTTTTCAGCGTACTTCTGATCGCTTCTAACGTTCTGTAGTTCCTAAAAAGAGTGGTGAATTGAGTAGATCCATATCTGTTGGCTAGAATTAGCTTTACATGTCTATTGCTTCTCTCTTTGGCATTCTTCCCAGGGTTGCATTCATGGTTCAATCCACACGGATCCTCAGAAACTAGTTCCCAATGACCTGAAAGAAATTCGTGGGATGGCGTCATTTTCAGTGTTCTTCTATGCCTTATGTCTTCATCTACCTTGACTGTTTCCCTTTCTTCCCTCTTCTCATCGGTTCCTTCCGGCAATGGCGGCAACTGTAAACCTCGTAGTGTTCCGTCGCATACATGTAATAAAAAGTGAACGAATGACTGGTGCCTACAATCCTGTAAATTATTACATCTCGTTTTCCATATTTGCCTGTCGTTCGCCCATGTATTCCCGTGGTTGTGTTTCTGCTGGTGCCAAAAGGGGATCTGAAGACTGCTGTGAACCTGTAGTAACAGATTCACGGGACAGGGAGGTATGTGCATGTGAAATCAGCGATTGTGTGATGATGGTGGATACGCGGAGTTGAGCCGAAGTTCGAAATGTTTAGCATCGAGGTGTGTGCTTCCAGTTAAGACATAAAACGAGGGAAACGGCACATGCATAGTAGTATACTGCTCCCGAAGAACCGATGAGGTTGTGTACAACCAAGAATCATATGTTGAGTTAGTAGTGCTTTGTGCGACATCAAATGAAAAAGAAAACGTGTACAAAGGGAAAGGGAGTGATGTACTGCCGGAGACATCACGGAAAATCAGATTTGGTGGGAACGGAGGAAAGAGAGTAAATGTTATCGTTCATGCTCTACTCTGCGTTACACAAACAACAGTGCTAAAGATTTCCGCTAATCAGCTCGCTTAAATACTGATTAGCGACGACCTTTATATAGGTGTGAGGTTGATAAAAGAGATGCCTAACAGTTAAAAGTACTGACGGTCATATTTAACGAATTAACCTCCCTATAGGGGCATTAGAGTCCAATTACAGCGAGTTCTTGGCGCAGAACACATTCAACCTTCAAGTAATTACAGAGCCTAGAAGTTCAGATCATTTGGGATACCTCTGAGGAATTTTTTCAATACATGCCCTTTTTCCTTTGAATTGTAGTATTTCTTATTGTGTGCGTTTGCATTTCAGTTGCTATAAGTGGTTAAATGTGTTCTTGACATTTTAAATTTATCAAAACATTTTTTTCTGACATCTACGTTTACGCTTGCCTTCTACTTTCCATGTTCAGTTTGGCTCAGTCGTGTCTGTAAATGAGAGGTCAGGGGTACGAGAGAGCAATTAAGTCAGGCAACCTCAAATGGCGAGTCTCCTTAAGAGCCATGATAGGTGTGAAGTGAAATTTTTCGAGAACACCACACACCCACAACTCCTCAGCCCCTATTTGAAATCCGTAACGATGGCTGCCCTGCTCCTGATAAATATCAGGAGATACGCTAGTATGCATTACTCGCTACTTACTAACACTCTTGTGTGCGGCCGGATTTTTGCGCTCAAAGGGTGGAATTTTTGTCTGCGTTGTTTGTATTTCTCTTCAAGGCTCTCGACAAGGTGTCGGAACCAACCGCTAGAGAAGAGTAGCAGCGGACAAACAAACACCGAAAAATGGAAGATTTGAAAGTACACAAGACGCGACGTTAAAGCAAGGATAAATGTGAGAAACACGAAGAAAATGAGCCATAATAAATCATAAATAAATAAACAAAAATAATAAACCATAAATGAACAATAATAAGACATAAAAAGAAAGAAAAGACGGAAAAAGTCCATGTGCCAGCACGTGAATTTTACTTGTTCGCGGTTAAAAGTTGAGAGTTGAATTAGAGCACGCTTTTGTACCATGGCATTGGAGCGAGCCAGTATTTCCGAATCAGTTCCAGGCCAAACACTGGGGAAGTACCGTTTGCTGAAAACCCATAACTTCTCCGAGAGTGGAGCTTTTGAAGACGGAAAAGCAGGGCTGTGGAGCACTAGGTTAACACTTATTATATCAGTTTAAGCGATTTCAAAAATCTCTTTTCAAGGAACTTTCTCCGTCGTGATCCCGTTGTGACGTCTTGGGGGTCATTTACAAGCCTTACGCTTTGAACTGCCATAACAATCTTCATACAAGGCCATTTGTAAAACAAAAGCAGTGGCGGAATTTCGAAGGTTTCTACTTTCTAGCTAGACTTTAATTTTATTTCTAGGCCTGCTAGAGAATCCCCCGTTGTTATACTCGAAATCCCTGAGATCGGGTAGGCGTGGCTGCATGCTTCAACTTAACCTGAAGGTGTCTATGCTTCTGGTGAGATATTTTCATCTTGACACAATTGTTGTCGTGTCTCTGTCCAACAACAAGATGACAGTTGTCCCAGACTGGAATATTCCACGAGTAACCAGTTCCGTGCCATGTTCAAATGCCACGCCTACTCTGGCTCAGGGATAAGGAGTGTATGTGGACGCGCTCCCTTTCGGATGACACGGAAAAACCCACCCCTCCGAGGCCATACGACTTCCAGTTCGTTTGAAGACTTTGGTATGCTTCTAAAACACATGTTTTCGCCAAGGGTATCAGGAGTTTGTTCGGCGCCGATTGGCATCACCTCTGTAATGCGCCATGCATAGGGCTCTCACGCAGAGGTATTGGGAAGGTGCAACTTCTAGATAGGGCTTCCTCCGTGCAAGTAGATGTGCTTCTGCGATCAGAAAGGTCCGGAAGTGTATTTTCATCTGTTTATTAATTCATGACGTCGTTGTGGGCGGCCATCGTATTTCCTGTCATCGCCCGTTCCCCACTTCTGCGCTGGCAGGTTGCTTCTGTCTTGTGTGTGTCTCTTCAGGGTCTTCACATGAATAAGTCTTTCATCATTGAAGCTGAACGACATCTGAGTATCGCTACCCACTTCAGGAAGGGCCCTGCGCTTGCGACCCCCCCCCCTTCCCTCAAGGACCAATACGACTCCCTGCTGTGATTACCACAACAATGGCGTGCCACTCCAACCCGACGGACTTACCGCGCTCCACGGCTAGGCACGAAAGCAGGGCATTACACCACTAATGTTGCCGCTGCTCCGATCATTGTCGAGACCACCCCATACACCCCCCCCCCCTTACTGGCGAGTCACATATGACGCCCATGTCGCGGATGCGACGACGCACGGTTGACCGTGGACGAGAAGCTTGGTGGATTAGAGCGTAAACTTGATTTCCATTTTTAGTCCTCCGAAGATGACGATTTAGTCGCAACGACAGGCCAGTTTAATGATACTTCCACATATCAACCTCGAAGGGCACATAACTATTAACATAATCCATGTGTATAATTTTTCTTGGTTCCCCTACCTTAGAATCACCGAATCACCCTTATTCCCATGTGCCTTTTTCCTTTTTGCTTCTGCTCTTCGCCTGGGATGAATTCACAAAGATGGTGAAAACAAGCAATGTATTATTTGCCTTGAAAACATGAAATCAAGCGACGTCGCACTTTGGAAAAAGAAACGAAGTTTGCAAATGTTAACGTGTTGGTGTTGAATTTCTCAAGATTATCGATAATCGTGACTTGAAGGTTTATTTCAGGACGCAATAGAGATTCACGGGAAAAGTCTCAGAAATCGGCTTCATGAGAGAAGCACACACTCTACTGGTACTATTATTGCCCTCTCATAACTCTGTGTTCCGTACATCGTGAGGAAGGGCTTTATCTCCGGTTGCACGAGAACGACACGTTGCGGCTTCAACTGCATCCATCAAAATACCCTGAAATTGCGCCCATGAAGAAAACGCCGGTACTCTCATGCATTCTCGAATAGGGAAAGTGTAGACCTTTAAACCTCCACTCTCCAACTTATGCATTCCATATACAGAAGATCCACCGGGACTTTGAACGTCATCCTTCAACTTCGCCGGATGTGTACCTTAATTCCACTCCATTTCCAATATTCGTGGCTAAGACATCCATTTTCTGCTTTAGGAGTCATACAATTCGGCATGCAAGTGAAAGCAGATGAGGGCAATATGCCCATTATTACCGGAATTCCCAATAAACTGACCTCTGGCAGCTGTGTATGATGGTGTATGAATTATGATCCCGTACCTTTCTTTTCTAGTGCGCTCTTTCAGGTTCCCACCCCTGAAGGGAAATCTCCACTTTCTCCAACAGTACCGGCTGTTTTCTGCATGCGCATCTCACATACAATTATTCTACACGAAAGGAGAGTGCGTGTGAAGGGGCATGGATGGGAGTGCAGCCAGGGTGGCTTTTCCCTCCAATTGTTGCGGGCTCGGATGACGTCATTAGTGGGGAAGGTTGCCGTGACTGCCCCCAGTCTACGTTCCTTCGAACGTCCTCTCATTTGCCGGGATAGCAACTGCAATACTGAAATATACCATTTTCACTTTAAATCGGACACTTTTCAAACCAAATCGGACACTTTTCAAACCAAATCGGACACTTTTCAAATCAAATCGGACACACCCCTTACAATGGGCAGTTGAGAACTAGACCACACTAGGTACTGCTGCAAGCCCCGCCCACTTCTTAGCGCGGCCGTGGTTTTCCAAATGTTTTATGAATTCTGCTTCTTCGACTTTTTTCACTTTTGCTAGTTGCACACACACTTCAACTGAAAAGGATTGGTACCGATACAGATCTGACTCCGCCCACTTCATGAAGTGACGTAAGTTCTGAATTTTTATAACTTTTTTCGACGTCGGTTTTTTCACATTCAATCTTCACAAAACGAATATAGTCATGCTTTTACACACTAGCCCCGCCCCTCTGACCACGCCCACTTTCGTTTTTCGCGGAATTTTGATTTTTCTTCCGAATTTTCACTTTTTTAGGCTGTGACAAGCGGCCCCGCCCACTAATGGAAGCTCCGCCCACTTTGTAGAAGCCCCGCCCACTTTTCAAAATGATGCAGATCGGCGAGCTAGTGACCGTACTAGCAGGTTATGGCCTCTCCCGTCACATAGAATGAAAAAAAGGGAAAGACCACAAAAAAAGGGAAACTTTGTTCCGGGTGTTCCGGGTACTGCATCATTTTTGAAAAGTGGGCGGGGCTTCTACAAAGTGGGCGGAGCTTCCATTAGTGGGCGGGCCGCTTGTCACAGCCTAAAAAAGTGAAAATTCGGAAGAAAAATCAAAATTCCGCGAAAAACGAAAGTGGGCGTGGTCAGAGGGGCGGGGCCTAGTGTGCTAGTGTGTAAAAGCATGGCTTATTCGTTTTGTGAAGATTGAATGTGAAAAAACCGACGTCGAAAGAAGTTATAAAAATTCAGAACTTACGTCACTTGATTGTGAAGTGGGCGGAGTCAGATCTGTATCGGTACCAATCCTTTTCAGTTGAAGTGTGTGTGCAACTAGCAAAAGTGAGAAAAAGTCGAAGAAGCAGATTTCATAAAACATTTTGGAAAACCGTGACCGCGCTGGAAAGGTGGGCGGGGTGTTGGGGCGGGGCTTGCAGCAGTACCTAGTGTGGTCTAGTTATCAACTGCCCTTGGTAAGGGTGTGTCCGATTTGATTTGAAAAGTGTCCGATTTGATTTGAAAAGTGTCCGATTTGGTTTGAAAAGTGTCCGATTTGGTTTGAAAAGTGTCCGATTTAAAGTGAAAATGGTATATTTTCTTTTCAAGTAAACGGAACTTATTCGAACATGCGAGATTGATATGAATTTTCATCTACACTCGGCCAGATTCCAGCCCCTTCTTCGTCAGAGCCTGTAGAATCGGGGAACACTTATGATCTGTCCACAGTGAACCCTGTGCAGTGTCCAAGACAAACCCGGCATACAACAAGTAACCTGAACAGCAAATCGAACCACATTGGCTTACCTGACGAAGAAAAACGCGCCGAAGCGTTGGCCTAGTGTGCGTAAAAATACATACCAACCTCGGACGGCTCGAATAAGTTATCTCGAATAAGTTACATTTATCTGGAATAACTACGCCGAAATAATGATGGTCGATCATGGATGATTCGTTCTTATGTTTTGAGTTCTCATAAATGAAAGCGACGAAAACAAAAACCATTCAATCAATGGAAAGGCAACTCCAGCTTCGTCCTTTTGTGTCCACTCGGCAACTATTAAAGTTTCAGCAGGACCACCATTAGAGCCACCACTTATAATACGTACTCTTATCACGAATCTTTTTCGAAACTTGGTGCAGAGCTCTCCTGAATAAAGTTGCGCAAGTGTTTTAGGCAGAGCATTTCCATACTCAGTACGAGTTTCTGGTACAGAGCTGCTTCGAATGCGAGGCAAATTGCAGATATGGGCCGAACACAAGACCTTTCAGCTACGATGCCACATTCAAAGCAACAAAACGTTTAAACTAGTGTTGAGCGTTGGTATGCTTCGGCTAGAAAATACTTCCGTGACTCCGTTCAGCGAGGCTCACAGTAGATTCAAAAGGCTTCCTCATAATCTTGATCCAAAGGTACATCTGTCAATATACATTCCACTTCAAATGGCCACTTCGACCTACCAACTGCATCTGATGGGTGCAAGCTCGAGCTACAGGAAGACTCAGGAGGACTCCTTGGATTACCAATCGTTTTTTCAGGCTAGTGAAATTATTGAGGTCATCTCATTCAGAACCGTGTAGACGTGCAGAGGAATGGCAGGAAAGCAAAGGGCTATGGCTGTGGGCTCCTACATCGTTTGAGAGCGCGTATCTTCAACAATGTATCAGTGAAATTTGGCTAGCATAGCCCGAAGAAAAAATTTAGAGAAATTGAAAAGAAACCTGAGAGATCAAAATTAGCGGAGGATTATGGAAACGGGCCTCATGAAAGGAAAAAACGCTTCTCGAATTTATCCGTCGGACCAATAGTAGGATGTAATGGTGTTTCCTAAACGGAATAAGGGGATTTGATTTAAAAGTCCGAAAAAAGACGAACGAAAAAAGTTTCGGCCGAGGAGGCCTCATAATGTTTATTCTGCACAGGATGAGCGGGTGGATGAAGTCAAGTGCTGAATGTCTGATCATCTGATCATAGAGGCTGGGCCGTTGTCGAGCAGTCCGTGGGACTGACATCCGTGCTGGAACCGTTGCCCGAGTTATGCCCAAAAAATGAGGATGGTATGTGTTTTGGGTACTTCGGTTGTTGTAGAAGCACGAATGCACAGTCGATTAAGTACCTGTAGCGGTGAGGTCCTCCACCTGAAACATCATTCACGACTGTGAAAACGCACCGTGGCCCTAGGCGAATTATGGCTGATCTTGAACTCTCCAGCCGCAGGTCACAATAGTCACTTTTGCATGAATACAGATGAAAAGCTTCCCAGCTCTGTTATGAGGAGTTACGTGTGCGCAAGCTATCGATGTATATTGCTTGTTCCTCGACAATCATTGACAAATAGATGGCACCACACAATTGAAAGGAAGCCAGCATTGCTTGTCACTGGCCCCCAGCAATCGTATTATTGGGCAGTGTTGTAGGGTTTTGTAACCTAGATTCGAATGTATTGATATCTTATGCATAGAGATTATCCCGTGCAGTATCCTGCGCAATGTACGGAGCATTGTAATATGACTATCCTTGTGTTTTTATGTTGTCAGTTCTCTCCGGTTCAGTTCCACAATAAATCTTCTACTCCACTGGTGTTCTTCGGCTACAACAGCAACATCTACAACTACTAGCGATCAGCGGACTAGATCGCGGACCAGCCGACGACAGCGGCCAAGACGAAGAAGATTGTTTGCTGCAATTCTCCCTAGAAGAAGGACTCCATCTCCGACGACAGCGGCGAGGACGAAGAAGATGTTTACTGTAGTTCTCCCTAAAAGAAGGACTCCAGCCCCGGCTTCACGCCCGGTCGAACTGCTGGTCGAGTCCTGAAAACAGCCCCTGCTTCCTGCCCGGCCGAACTGCTGAGTCGAGTACCGCTCAGCCCCGGAGTGAGCTGGTCGATTGCAGTTTACGTGATCAACAAATCAATCAGTTTGATTGGATCACGTTTGAGAAACGTATTAGGCCGTTATTGTGAAGTGTCGTGTTCTGGGTTAACAAAAGAGGGTAGCGTAAACAACGACGCTAACAATGGATGCTGAAGGCCTACGCGCCATTCTGGAGTCTCAAACCAGGATGTAGCAGCAGATGTTTGCTGAGCAGCAGCGGATTTTCAGCGAGCTGGTAAGTCGCATGGAAAGGAATGGTCGCCACATCGCGTCCGGCCGTTTCACCTGCTCCCGTCTCCACAGCAGAATTCGTCCCGGACTCTATCATCGCCTCTGCCCCGAGTTCGTCTACGATCCTGACAATGGCTGCACATTCGAAGTCTGGTTCAATCGATACGAGGATGTCATCGCAAAGGATGGCGCCACGCTGGACGACGCTGCAAAGGCCCGTCTAATCGTCTCCGAACTCGACGCAGTCACTGCTCAGCACGCCCTTCGCAAGATGGAAGACCGAGAACAACACTGAAGGAGCTCGCCGCTGAAATCCAGCAATTCCTCGACATTCGCCAAGATGCCGCACTACTCGAACGAGCCGCTCCACCGCACGTCAACGCCGTCGACTCTCACAACCAGAAAGGACAAAGATCGCGAGCCGCCCTCACATTGTTTTCGATGCGGAGCAAATCACTGGTCGAGGACTGATCTTTTTTAAAGAAGACGTGCCACGACTGCAAAGCGACGCGCCACAAGCGAGGATTCTGCAAGAACTTCAAGAGGAAGAGGAAGCAGAAACCGCAACGGAAGCGAAGATCTGCCAACAACGTCGTCATCGCTTCAGCTCATGCTGATGTCGCCTCCGTATCACGCATCTATCGCCCAGTGGAAATAAATGGAAAGACGATACGCATGCGTCTCGACACTGGAGCAGACGTGACTTTACTGAGCGAAGC